TTGTGTATCCCAATACCATTTTGGTAATAGAAACCAAGTTCACGTTGTCCTCTAACATCTCCACCCTCGGCTGATTTCAAATGCCACTCAAATGCTCTTTCATCATCTTTTTGCGTCCCAATACCATTTCGATAACAAAAGCCAAGATTGAATTGTCCTCTAGCATATCCACCCTCTGCTGATTTCAAATACCATTCGAATGCTCTTTTGTTATCTTTTTGCGTCCCAATACCATTTCGATAACAGAAACCAAGATTGTATTGTCCTTTAGCCTCTCCCCTCTTTGCTGATTTCAAATACCACTCAAATGCTCTTTCATCATCTTTTTGCGTCCCAATACCATCTTGATAACAGAAACCAAGATTGCATTGTCCTTCAGCATTTCCACCCTCTGCTGATTTCAAATACCATTTGAATGCTCTTTCATCATCTTTTTGCGTCCCAATACCATCTTGATAACAGAAACCAAGATTGTATTGTCCTTTAGCATCTCCCCTCTTTGCTGATTTCAAAAACCACTCAAAGGCTTTACTTTTATCTTTAAGTGTACCGACCCCATTGTTGTAACAAAATCCCAGTAAATATTGAGCAATCGCATTATTATTCTTTGCTGAATTGTTATAAAATTTAAAAGCAATTTCAAGATTCTGTTCAATTTTTATCCCAAAATGATGCAAAAATCCATACAAAACTTTATATAGAGTATTCAACTTTAATATTTGCAAAATTTCTTTACATTCGAGCGCGTTTTCTGTTAATTCTTCAATAACTATTTGCATTTTATTTGCAGTTTCATTTAAACTTTGTGAAGTATGAATCGTTTTATCAAAAACATTATATATTTCTTCGATAACTGAAGCGTTTTTTCTTTTATTGAATTTTATGATTAGATTAGAGACAAATGAGTTTGCAAGATTTTTAATCATTTTTATTAAGGAACACAGAAATGCTTGGGATAAAAAGTCGTTAATAGTGTTGTCGCTTTTATAAGTCCAAATTGTCTAAATGTCAATAATGTTTTTAATAAGAATCCTTCAAGCAGTTCAGATTTTTACTTCCAGATATTGCCTTTTATGTTCCCAGATTACGTAGGTAGAACGTATCGGTATAACGATTGCGATAATCATTTTTCACATGTATGCGTACGTATCGGGCTAATTTGATTTTATTATGTCCCCACATAAGGATCTCGGCCCATTAGTAAGACATTGTAAACAATATCAAAATCAAATCGGCTGATATCGATATGTTTCAGAAATCGTTAAAAACACATGCCACTATAATACGCATAATATGAATTACATTACGAGCTGTTTCATTGTACTTGTACGTACATGTATTTTCTTTTTAATAACGATAAAAATTCTCTAAATTTGAAGCGCTGTCATTATAATGGTCCTATAAAAATCCTAAGAAATGGATCTGTAAAATATGTATACGGAAAAGTACGTTACATTCAGATGTCCATAAAGTGTCGCTTTTCAGACGGAAATTGCATATGTAGACATTATGAAGATTTTTCCACGTAATCTCTATATGCTCGATCAATGTCTATTCCCCGAGCAATCTATTAACGAATTAAAAACTAAAACGTGTTAGCAGATATGCAATTCTGACGATACAGTAAACAGTCAAACGATACACTTATAGCGAGATTTAGCTATTGAGAACTTTTGCCAACTTCTCTGATTATAAATAAAATGATTTTCTATATATCACGAGCTTTTTGGGCTTCCTATACAGTTTTGGCTGTAGCGGTATATCACATAAAATCACAGAGCAATATTACGTGTGTTTGACACTATACGTACATAGTACGTGTACTGAGAAACCTGAAGATTTTATCGACTCTATTAACAATATTTACACTGATTTCGTTTTGAGGTGAAAATTGAATACTCTAAAACACAAGTATCTTAGATTGGAAAAAGACAAGAAATTGAAATTGCAATAAAGTATTAGCAAGAAACAAAAAATTCATCCAAATCTACTTTACACCAGTTAAATCTTATTAAAATTAATTTCAATTTCAAATAATACATGTACACTTGATTTCTAGCTACAAATCATATCGATATTTGAATCTTTAGGTTCTACAAACAAAGAGATATTAGTGACTTACAAGAAAACTACAAATTTATGGTGAAACATTATTGAAGGAATCAACTCTTTTATAAATCAGCAATAAAATTCTAATTGTTAGTTTAAAATTACATGAGTTTTAGCCATGACATAAGCCACAAGCCACAAATCGATATTGCACCTATCCTAATTTGGATAAATGATGCGGCATAAACAAAAGTGGGACAGTTCAACCGGCAATGGGTGATATTGTCAAATGAACATATAATATGTGAATTATTTTTTTGCTAGCACTGGTATTTATATTATAATTGTTATTGTACTTAATTAAATTTTACAGTTATTGCAAACATTTGCTAAATTGACCCCAAGCATCAAAAGTTTCCTAATACTGTATGCTTCTTAGCATCAAGTTTAGCAGCGTGCCTGAAGAAATAATTATTAGAATTAGTTTGAATAGTATAAAGAAAAACTAATAGCAAGAAAATGGTCATGCAATTAATGAAACCAGTGCATGATCATGTAGCAAACTATGTATAATAAAAAACAGATTGGGAACATAATTACATAACAAAAAAAAGAAGTTGAGAACATGATCGTGTATAATTAAAGAAAGATTGGAATAAATTGCATAATAAAAGAAAGAAATTGGGAACATGACTGTATAGCAAAAGAAAGCAATTGGAACATGACTGTATATAGTGAAAGAAATATTAGGAACATGATTGTTTAATAAAAAATAGAGGTTGGATCTGGTTTTATTTTTATTAACCAGTTTTATTATACCTGGTAATAATCGATTAATCGGTTATAATAAATTCGGTTAAAACCAATTAATCGGTTATGTCAAAATATATTATAATTTTCAGCCATTTCCATCGTCCTGCCAAGATTCTACAAGTGTTAGTTTGTATGTTCCAAATGAAGGTAAATTTATATTTGATACTATTTTCATCAAGTTCTTTAATTCATTATTTCTGATAAAAAACAGATTTCGATACTGATTTAAATCTTAATATTAAAGCTAACTGATTTTAATGAACCAAAGGTAATTTTTTTTATTTACAAATATTTATTTTATTCATATAATGTAATTTAATTATTTCTGAGCATGAACATTCTTCAGTGGCGAGATATTTGAATCTCGTCATTTTTTTCTGTGAACAATTTCAAATGTGAGCCATTATAAATTGGATGTAATTAAAAACCGGTTAAACAGATTAATATAAACCCGATTAATCGGTTTTCTAAATTTTAACCCCGGTTCAACCTCTAGTTGATACGATATCTGTTCGATAAGAATCACCCTAGTTCAAAAATGCAAATCACACGATACGTATCGGTATCGGTATCATGGTATGATGTAAGCGTGGCTTGGAAAGTTTACGTTTGCCGCTGGTTTTGTCCCGTTATTCTTTCCTTTAACTTTTCTCGCTTGTAAGACTTCTAGGTAATTACCTTTGTGGTAGTATATCCACACTTCTTTATTGCTAGTACTATTTACACTCAGTGCTGAGAGATGTTTTACGAGTTGTTTCTTTAGCTTTTCTTTCTTCAAAGTTTCTTATCCGATTTTTACTTCTAATTTTAAAGCAAACCTGGAGTCGTTGTTTTTTTATATCTAAAAACAAAACAAAACAAAAGAAATCACCTCCGTGATAGTGTATCCACCTTCGTGGTAAATGTATCCATCCACTTTCGTGATAATGCACTTTTACCCATGGGCAGTGAATCTAAAAAATCATAAAAAAATAAAAAGCAATCACCTCTGTGGTAGCGCATCCACCAAGTAGTGCATTTATATCCGGATAATATTCGCCTATGATCACTTCGGTTTGTATACAACTTAAAATCAATAATTCTTTTGAGCACTTTTGAAATCATTTATTAATTTTTTGATCCTATATATTTAGAATATTATACACACCCCTACACTACAGTATATTACCGGAAATTTCAAAAATGAATCTGTCACCTTGGAACCCGATATCTTAACATCTAGTGATCCCATTTGAACAAAGATATTACCATTAGATTTGCCTCGATTATGCGGATCTAATGATGATATCTTTGTTCGAATGGGATCACTGGATGTTAAGATATCGGGTTCCAAGGTGACAGATTCATTTTTGAAATTTCCGGTCTTATACTGTAGGGGTGTGTATCACTGGCGAGTTTTGAATTCATAAAATTAGATACAGGAGAATCAGAATATTCCATGTAAGTTAGATAATTAGCGTTTAATTTTTACTGTAGAAACTGTTAATTGATAGCTTCTCGATTCCAATAAATTGCAGTATTCTTCAATGTTGCGGATTAGAAATATCCGAGATATGCGTGATAAAACTATCGAGTATTCCTTTTTTCAATAGATGAGAAAATTTGGTAATTGCTTTTTCATATTTTCTGGAAAAAAATAATAGATTTTATGGTTTTTAGAATCTCAAGAATAATAAATAACAATTAAAAATATGTAATAAATCAATAATAAATTTGTTCATTAATAAACTTATATATATTTATTATTATATTATGATCTTATAAGAAAACTACACATTTATTATATAACATTCTTTAATAAACACTCATAAATCTCAGATTTCATTCTAGCAGATCACATTATGAACACACTATTACTATCATTCTAGACTCATTATAATTATAATAATGCTTGAAGTATTATATATTTGACTACATTATTTATACTCTCTCACACATTATTGTTAATACACATTATCATAATTATCCTAATTAAATAATCTATTATAACATTATAAATTTCATATATTAAATAAAAAAAGTATTGAAAAATTCTCATAATAGTAATTACTTAAAGCCATATGTTAAATTCAAAAAATTGAAACCAATTATTATAATTAATAATAATTAATTTATAAAGCAAATATCTTAAAATCAAGAGTCTTATCACTAATTTAATATAATAAACATATGAATAAGAAGTACAATTATATAAAATTAGTTATAATGATATCTTGATTATGTATTTAAGTCAAAAATATTCTTTTTCTTTCACATTATTTCTTATCTTTTTATTTTTAGTCTATTATTATTCTAAATTAGATATTAATCATACAATTTTTTTTGATATATTTATTATTTTCTATAATTATTTAACTTCTATTTTTTATTTTTGTTATTAGTACTTTAGCATAGAACAATATTATTAATTATAATATAATTAGCTCTTCATGTAATTAAAAAAAATTAATAATTTATAATAATAGCATAGATCTATTATATTATATGTTGTATTATAGCTGTACTATATTATATCACACTCTGTATTATTGTGCCATACTATACTATTATAATACAAAAATATATATAAATACAAATATTAATAATTAATAAAATTTAGATTTTTAAGTTTTTCAGTTTGATTTTAAGTTTCTTTGATTTAGTTTTAAGTTTGTTTAGTTTGATTATGTTAATTTAATTAATTTTGGAATTAGTCTTTTTGTTTTAAGTTTAATTTTATCATTTTTATCTTGTCGCAAATATCATTCAGTTATAAATTCAAAATAAATTGCCATAAACAAAGTAATTATTGTCATTTTGAAATATTTTTATATGCAAAAGCTCAAAATAGTATTATTGATAATGGTCGTGTTACTGTAGTAATATAAGTTTCTTTAATTCGATAATCTTTCTTTGATTATGTGAAATTCCCTTTTTCTTAATTTTTATAATTTATCACCTGATTATCATTA